TTCATGCCCCTATCCTTATAAATAATTTTTTTTTTAAATCTTAAGTTTCAAGCAAGGCGTACTGTGCATCTGGTTTGTACATAATTTAATTGTTTTTTTAATCTGCCAAATAACAAAATGAAAGTTGAATTTCCTTGCAATCTTGAATATTTGCCAAACTGATAGTGCACTGGTAAATACATGTTATTAAAAATGGAATCAAACTGTATTGTGATTCTGGGTTTTTTAATCATTTCCCTTTAATTCCCAACATCGTCTCCATCATGAAGATCAAGAGTTATTCCTTACCCAGAAGTTGTTTTTTTCCCTCTGCAGGGGGATTTTCATTTTTCATGTGCAGCTCTGCCTATGAGGCTGTTCTTCAGCTTTAAGCAATTTGCATTTCTTCAGAGAGAGATACATTTGCTGAGTGAGCAGCACTTCCAAATAAAAATGATCTACTCATTTGCTGTCCAGCTCTGTTGCGGGACTTGGGACCATTTTGAAAAAGCTGTAGAATGTAAAATGTGTGAAGACAGTGTGTGAAAGGGGAGGAAACGAGAGGTAGAACTATACTTCAGGTGAAGTTCAGCTGAACCAAAAATCCCCATTTGAAAGCAAAATACTTTTTGAGTCTGGGATTTGAGAGCATTTGGTTTCCCTCCTCCCAAGTTTGTCCTGGCAAGTGGGATGTTGACGCACTTGACAAGTTGATGGGAGAAACCAATAAAGGGGGAGCGGAGATGGTAAAATGCCTTGGGAATGTGAAACAGTGATGACAGGACTTGTTTTTCGTATGTCAGAGCAGACAGAATATCCTAAAGAGGATGCATATTAAGTGATGAACCTGTTGACACAATTAGCTCTAGAGCATGCTGGATGAGAGCATGTGCCGTGAGCCCTTGTGACAGTCATATTTGGGTGCTCAATTCAGCGGGACTCTTTGCTTTCCTTCTCTTACGCATGTGTGACAACAGCCAGCGGTCTTTTTTCCTGAAGGCACTGAAGGCAACGCCCCAGAACATCTGCAGAGCTGATTTGTGGCCAGTGTCTTTTAGTCACCTCTGCAGTAAAACAGACTGGGTGGGGAGACAACGTCGCCGCCGCCAGCTCCTGTTCGTCAGTCTGCTTTTGGTGTTGAAACTCTTTCGTCAAGCTGATGGGTTCCTCTTGTGCTTCCACAGGAAATGTCCCACCATAAAAAAAAAAATAAAAAAAAGATGGTTTTGTGGGTTGAGGTAATGCTGGCATTTGTTTTGCATCCGCGCAGGCACAACAGTGGTTCATGAGCCCAGAGAGAGGAGTTGTTTGCTCCGCTGCCAGTTGACCTTGTCTTTGCCCACTGTACTTTTCCTTGAGTGCTTATACAAAGCACCTGAGCTGCCTTCTATGCTCATAGACTTCTGCAGCCTTGTATGCATGGGCAAAGCCATGCACATAAAATGCAATAAAAAAGGCAGTATTAAATTGCTTCACAGTCCATTTGCACCTAAACTGACGCTTGAAGAAAAGTCCATGCGTTTTGCAGAAGCGCGTGGGATTTCACCTAGGTGAAGCTATTCTGCAGTCTCTTCTCAAGTGCCATTCTGTATTTGTTCACTCTCATTTAATCCTGCCATGTGCTGATTGAAAGTACAAAAAGGAAACCTCCTGACAGGAGAAAGATAAGCTCGTTATAACTGATCCTTCTGATGAATAGCTAACCAGTGGGTGAGAGAAAACCAGACTGCCATGGTGGAGAGCAACCCTCTGCTTTCCCAAAGCTCTCTTACAGAATGGCACAAAATATGGTCTCAGGGAAGACCAGCAATGTTTGCTGGATGTTCTTTGCTGAGTCAACTTAATACTTCTCATGAAAGAGGAATGTAAATGATATTTGAGGACCAAATGTCAGTCCAGGATGAAAATGGATTCCATATGTCATTTTGAGAACCGCTGTCTGTGTTGTTTGCAAAGAGCTGGATCCCAGCTTAAGTCGTCTCCATCCCTAAACTCTTGTTTGAAATAATCCGCAGAACCTTACTACCGATGAAAGAGATTTTTTTAATGAGAACAAAATATATTTACACCCGAGGCCAGCAAGTAGGTCAACTGAGTAATTAAAAAAAATTTTACAATGAAATGATGCTTGCATATCTGAATTTCTATGAGTTGTACTTTTTGACTGAAAAGTTCTCAGGTTAAACCAGAGATAGGATAGGAAAACTGTTACGAATTTTTTTACCATCTCTGGATTCAGAAATGTATCTATTAATATGATGCCTCCTGCAAAACTTAGTTTCAGACTGATAATAAAAATAAAAGGGTTTTAAAGTATTCAGTCAACTTCTGCTTTAGAAGATTACTTTGGTCAAGATTTGAGCAGTTTTATTCTATTCATTTGAGCATCCAATATCTAATATCTTAACTTGTACCTTAATTACGCAGATACTTTATAAATTCCAAAGGTATAAAATATCTGTATAATTAAGGTACAGTTTTGTCATTTCAGAGTTATCTTTGTTTTTTAAGCATTTGAGCTTTGTGAAAGGTGGTGAAGAAGACTGACCAAATTGTGAGCTCTTTATTTAGTAGTTGCACCTCATTTTCTAGGTTAATAATGACTTGTGACCAAGATGGCTTTATTGCATCTTACAAAACAGTTTGGCTCGATAGTGTTTGAGAAAAGCTTTATATTTTTAAGACAGCCTCCAAAAGAAACTTGAAGGAGCTTCTTTGGACACATAATTACTTGCAAGTATGTTGTGCCGATTCTAGTCTACAAAGTGATGGACGTTGGATCAAATGAAACCTTACCCCTGTCATTGTCACTGTGTTACCTTTTCAATAGCACCAACATCCGAAGTGACTTTGGGCATTTATCTGAGGCACAGAAGTTAGAACCTCAGCCAGGCCAGGTGCTCACCTGAGACCTGACCTGCCTGTTGGAACACGTTGTACTTGGGTTTGGAGGCTTATTCAACCTTATATCAAGGTTCACCTCAGAGTTTGTAATGCTGGGACAGTAAGAATATCTCATTATGGGGCTCGTTGATTGTAACCAACCTGAGTCTGCATCATGTGTATTTGAAAGTAGTATTGTTCTCCCTCACTGCAGGAGTACTCAGTTCCTAGAAAATACCTCTTCTTCATTGCATTTTTGTTCTTCTCTTACAAAGTATTCTGTTAAAACTCTTTTTTTTTTTTTATCATCTCCAAGCTGTTATTTAAGTTCCCATGGTGCGGGAAACAAAGTGTGCAGGGGGTAGTATCTCTTGTTAGACAAATTAACATTATGAAAAAATCAAACAAATTTCCAGGCACTCAAACTCATCTTGGAGTGTTCCCCAAAACTTACACAATCTTCCCACCTCTATCGCTTGGTCTGAAAAAAGGTATTGCTTTTTCTACCACCTAACTCTCTGTTTACTTAAATTATGAGGACTATAAGAATATAATAAAGCCCTTCTAGTATTTTCATTTTATGCACTTTTTCAATTGTCTTGAGGGCTCAGGCATCATGCACAAGTCTCCCTCATATATCCAAGCCAGTAAGGATTATCTCTCGCTGCCATCAAAACAATCTTTCATGTCCATATGTAGACACCCACTCTGAACATCACCCCTGTGGCCAGTTTTATCTTCTGCAACGAATTCTGAGAAGGATCCAAGCTGGTTAATGCTAGCACCTAATTTATATCTGCATTTTAGTCTCTTTACTGAAGCAGTTTGTCTTAGAGTAGATGCCTAAGTACTCTGTCTAGACCAAAGTAAAAGGTAGGTACTTTTGAAGAACTCAGGAGAGAGGCTCCTGTCCCTCTGATTTAAGTCAGCTGAACACCATTTGCTGTTCCTTCATCATATTTTTTTCCATTTCACATAAATTCTACTTATTGTTTGTCTTTTTTTTTTCACTTACCACCTCACTTAAAGCTTTTGCTATTTAAATGCATCCGTTTCTTAATGGTCTTCATTGAAATGCATGTATATCTCCACTGCGTAATAATAATGAAGTGACAGATGACCGAGTAGACTCAATAGTGCAGTCTGAAGCTTATGGCTTGAAAGTCCCTACCTCAGTGATGGCTCTTTGATGAGACTGATACTAATTTGATCAGTTTGGTTCATATGTGCTTTTAGAAATGCACCATCAAAAGGAAAATCAGCACAATTATTGGCTACTGCATTCAGAGGAGACGTCCTGAATGTGTTTTAACCGTTAGTTATCTTCTTTACACCCCTTGTTGTGTCAGGAAATAGTATTGTGCCTGTGTTTAAATGACTTTTAATTCTGCACTTCCCTTATAGAAGAGGCACAAAGTAGGTTTAATTTAGAATCACAGAATCACAGAATGTTCGAGGTTGGAAGGGACCTCCAAAGATCATTTAGTCCAACCTCCCTGCCAGAGCAGGATCACCAAGAGTAGGTCGCACAGGAACGTGTCCAGGTGGATTCTGAAAGTGTCCAGAGAAGGAGACTCCACAGCCTCTCTGGGCAGCCTGTGCCAGGGCTCTGTCACCCTCACAGTGAAGAAGTTTCTCCTCATGTTGAGGTGGAACTTCCTATGTTCTAACTTAAACCCGTTATTTCTTGTTCTGTTTCTGGGCACCACTGAGAAGAGATTGTCTCCTTCCCCTTGACACCCACCCCTCAGATATTTATACACGTTAATAAGGTCCCTTCTCAGCCGTCTCCTTTCAAGGCTAAACAGCCCCAGTTCTCAGTCTCTCTTTGTAGGAGAGATGTTCAAGTCCTTTAATCATCCTTGTAGGTCTCCGTTGGATGATTAATGATTTTTGAGTTATAAGCCAGTGCCTTTGCTATATTCTTTCAACTCCAAGGTAGAGAGGTGAGAGATGTTATTTGAGGACTGTAAGAGGTGGTTCCCAGATTATAGATGCTTTGGGAGTGAAAAGTTGAATCTCTTGGCAAGGTACATCCTAAGCATTATGTTCATTGAAAATAGATGATGATGATGATGATGTTTATTATTATTATTATTTTTACATGTTTTAGTTAACTCTTTTCCCTCTCCACGCAGGCATGAACGCTTTACAGTTACAGAATTTGGCAACTTTAGCAGCCGCAGCAGCCGCCGCCCAAACCTCAGCTACCACCACCAATGCAAATCCTCTCTCCACAACGACTGGTGCTCTGGGAGCCCTCACAAGTCCCGGTAAGAGCTGAGGGCTTGCATGAAAATAAATGGGAAGATGATAGTTAAAGTAGTGACTGTGTCTAACTTCTGTGCTCACATAAATTCTGAAGACCCTTTTAAATAGCTGAATATGTTTCTGTTGCTGTTATCTTTAAGCAAATAACTAATTTTGCAAGTGGTCCAGTGTGAGCATGTTCACCTTTCCACACTCGTTTCAGGCGCCATTAAAGCCTAACAGACCCATCTTACAAAACTCTACATGAAAATACAATTGCATGGGAAACTTAAACTAAAGTCATCTTTTCAAAAAGAATTCAGAAGATGAGCAAATTCTTTCCATCCTACAGAACAATCAGCCAAGGTAGTTCTTTTTAATCCCTGAGAGACTGATCTTCAGTTCCCAGCACATAGTGTGCATATTGCCTTCACCCATCATGAATTTTTGTGAAGTCCTTCTCTCATTTTTTTACGTCTCTTTTTCTTACTCTAGCCTCAGTTGAGCTTTCTTCTCATCCTGACTCAAAATACAGTTACGAAAATTATATCAAGTGCACAAGGAATACACAGTCAGACTTTGCTTCATTCACTAAAGAGAAGATAGATTTATGGGGGAATAAGGGACAAGATAAGAGGTGGTGGTACCTCCATGACCACCATGTAGACCTTCAGCCATGCGTAACCAATGTCTGCAAAACCCTAGAGAGAAATCTGGGCAAAGCCAGAGTTCAGTAACACTTCAGCATCTCCAGAAACCACAGAGAGGGATGGTGATTCACTGTAGTTACTCTGGATTTACAGTGATGTAGCTGAGTCAAGAATACGGCCGCTTATCTTTACATAAAAGCTGCAGGGTGTAATTATTTGCATCGTGAAGTGTGTTTATTGCTGTTCTAAAAAGCATTCATATTATTTTAGACATCACTAAAGAACATTTGTGTTTAATCTTGTTTAAGTGTGTATTTATTCCCCATGAAAAAGTACTTCATGGCAGACGGTTTGAGCTCGTCAGTAAGGAAAACAGTCTTCACTGCACAATAGAACTGGGACTAAGCGCGGTGCTGAGTGTTAAAGCTGGCCAGCACTTCTCATTATGTCACAGTTTTATTGCTAGTTTGGGCAAGAGGTTAAATACATTCCAGGGCAGCTTGGATAATACAAAGTTTGTGCAGAATTTCCCTGTTTCTAATATGAACCTCATCTCAGCATAAAAACAATATTCATTCACAACATCTCCGGGTAGCAAGCTGGATAAAAATAATTTTGGTTTGCTGATACATTTTTTCTTAAACCTGAGCAATCTGTTCTCTCCATCCCAGAGCTGGGGCTTAATGCTGTGCAAAAGGCTAGTCTCAGTGCCAATGTTTCTGCAGTACTCCTGTCTAAATATCAGCCATTTATAGAAGCAGAAATTCCGCAGTTCACCCATGCTCTGTAATATCTCTGCAGTTCAGCTGTTAAATGTCTGAGTAGCCTGTCCTCCCAAAGCATGCTCAGCTTCTCTTGAGCCGGACTGACAAGACTTCTCAGGGCAGCTCAACCTGCTGCGCTGAGGAGCAGAGGGGCTGGAAGTGGACTGTTCGTGTTACTGTTCTGTGGCAAAGTGACACCACAACCTCAGGCAGCAGCATGTTTCTGCTGTGCTCTTTGTCTTGCCAGGTTAGCACATTGCTCAGATTCATCTTTGAGGTTCACATTTTTCCTCTCTCTCTATCCAACGCAATTTTCTTATCCAGCCTGACTCACTTGCTGTTCCCTCTTGTAAACCTGGTCTTGAGGCTCCTTGAGTGCCTGGAAGGTGCTTTCGTCTGATGTCCAAATCTGCAGAGGCACGTGGTTGGAAGGTGCTTCAGCTGGACTGGGCAAATACTTCTTTGGGATAACTTAGTATTGCTCAGGGTGGTATTGTAGAGCAGAGTCCAAGTTCTTTTCTGAATAGATTAATGATTTTGGCAAACACATTGAAGATGTGTTATTTTCAAAAAATTCTGGACACTTAGGCTTTGAAATAGTGTATTCAGAATGCTTTTGAAAGTCTCATAAAGAGTAGCTGTACACAAGCATTTCTAATATTAGACAGCTCGGTGCATCAAAGAGCAAGTCTATCTCTAATAGGTCCATTGACCTATTTATGTTGCACAACCAACCTAAAATCAAGCCCTGTTAAAATGTCCTTCAGTTTAACCTTCCTTATCTGGTTCCACATTCCCCACCCTATTAAATATTTTGTAAACCTGAATAATATCTTCAATGATTCTTCTCTGCACTATGGAAAATGAATTTAGTTCGATAAAGCTTTTCATAGTAGCTCGAAGTATTTCCATTAAAACTTGAAATATGTTGACAGAAAACATTTAAATCTGCCTTTCAATGTGTGTGTATTCGGAGGCCTTAAGGGTATTTTTTTGGTCAAGTTTTCCTTTAATAGAACACTTCAGTTTGTTGTGTTTCATGAGTGTAAATTATTTTGTCTGATTTCAAAGCCTGCACTAAGCCCAGGAAGAAATATTTGTGTCTCTCCAGATAATGCATTAAATTAATATTTCTTAGTTCAAAAAACTGCCCAAATTTAGGAGAGTGCAAAAGTACATACTTAAATTTAATCCTTTTCTTGATGCTATTAAAGCCAAAATACTGCACAGAACAGGGGTAGGCATGAGCGTGTACTTCTAGTATGCCATAAACCATGTCAGCTACATAAATCATATCCGTATTTCTACCCGTATATAACTATATCTCTCCTGAAAGGGATTCCTGAATCAGTCTTTCACCAAGAGTTCTTGTTCTGTCCTTTGTAGACATGTATCATCAGAGCCACAAAACGTGGTTATTTCACTTAAAATTCATCTTGCAGCGTAATTTTGCATAGATACGATTTAGGAGCCGTCAGTGCATCAACCTGTTACAGAGGGGATGGTGTCAGGCCAACTTCTGTGCGTTGACAGCATAGAAAAACAGAGCAAGAAGTGAGGAACGGACAGAGCATCAAGTTTTGCTGCTGGCTTCTAATTGCAATAATAATAATAAAAAATAAAATAAAAAAGAGAGAAAAATATTCATCATAGTAACTGTTCATTCTGTCTGAAACTCCTTGTTCCGGATTCATACAATTGCATATTTCCAAACAAATTAAACTCCAATGATCACATACAGTCTTACTAAATAGCTTTGACCGCAAGAGAGTCTGAGGACACTCGTTCTGCTCCATGTGCTAAATACTTTCTCTTAAGCTTGAAACAGTATTCATTCAGAAAGAAGAGAGACAATGCAATCCCCCAAACTATTAATTTTTTTATAATTGTAAATTTATAATTTCAATTTTGCATACCCATGGAAGTCTCTCCCTACAGCATTGTTAGAAATGATTTTTTAAAAGCCTTTGCTTAAAAAAACATGAAAGATTAAGCTTTCATTTTAGTAAAAATCCCCTCAGGCAATAAATAGGTTCTTTCGTCTCCTGGCCCTGGAAAAAAAAATTAAAATGGTTTAAATTGCCCATGGTTAAAGTAGCAGTTTCTTGCAATTATCAGATGGTAGTGAATAAAAATGAATATGAAATTATGAAAGAATAAAACCAGGTAAATGCATATTATGTGTTTCATGAGTTACTCACAAGTCTTTTGAAGACTCATTTAATCATCTTCCTAGTCTTTTATTTTGATATGATAATTGTTTCCTTTATTTATTTTAATCACCTATATTTAGTTAATTAATTCTTCACTTTCTCTTCATTTTTTCACTCTCTTACAACACTTTCCTGTTTTGAAGGCAGGTACCTGTAATATTTCGTAACATAAGAGTTTGGGCTGGGGTAGCCCTGACCTGACTCCAGGTTGTCTGAGCCAGTTTGTCTCAAATCCCACTTGGTTGGGCACTAGAAGTTTGCATTTCCCTTCAACTGCGAAGGGATTGCGGAGGTGCTACCTCAGGTGGAGGTATGGACACCGTAAATTTCTCAATTTAGACAGAATGAATCTCAGCTGAGGGTCAGGAACCTTGTCCTGTTCTCTAGGGATTGTCCTTGGCACGTCCTGCAAATGGATCAACCAGCAAAGAGCTTTCAGGGAGGCTGCGATTCCAGAGCCTGCAGAGATTTATGGTTAATTCAGAGAGGGTGGGAAAGCCTGGACGTGAATGTGGAGAAGGGACATACAAGATCAGGATCAGAGTATCTCCTTCTAACACTTTTTGACACTTAATTTGCCTCAGTTGACCCACTACCCTAGTTTTTCCACAGATCATAAAGTTTATTCTGACTGCCCTGGATGGTACAAGGTTGATACAGCACTGTGAAACATTTCCTGATATCAGGAGCTGTGAAGCTCCTAATTTTTGCAAATGGCAAAAGCCGTGTCCAGTCCAGGTTTGAATATCTTCAAGGATGGAGATTCAGCAGCCTCTGTGAGCTTATTTCAACTTTGTTTCTAAAAATTCATGCATAAATGTTTTTTTCAGTAGCCAGTAGGAAAGCCCTTCTGTGTGCAAATGAAGAGACAAAACATCTAATTATACATCCAAATTTATCTGCAGAAACATTCACGATGTAACTTCTGGGCTGTGGGGGGATAGAATTGCTAAACCAGAAGCTAATTCAGTTTCAGACTTTGGAGCCTTGATTTTCAGTGACATTTTCATGATTATTTGATTCTCTAAACTATTATTTATTCACACAACTGAACCAGCTATTCATGCTTCATTGAAAAAGCACTTCAGGTTTTTCTGCTGTGTAAACGTAAGAGGAAATCTTTCTGAAAAAAAATAAAATAAAATACTGTCATTGTAGAAAGTAACACTTTTTTCTTTAACAACCTCTTAAAATCCAGCACAGCTTTTGCCATATTATATCAGAATTCAGCCATTAACTCTTATGTTGGGGAAAAAAAAAGCTCTCCTAAGCACAAAAGTCTAAAAATACTTATTTTCAGACAGTTACTGACATTGAAGAATAACAACCCCCAAAAAAAGAAGTCTGTGAAGTATAGAATAAACTGAAAAAGAGAAAAAAATTATTACAGTGCCTG